TGTTTCTCCCAACGTCGTCAGATTTGAGAAAGTATTAAAAATACTTAAAATAAGGTTTCCCTCAAAAGTACTATCTAACCCAATTTTACATAAATTTCAACATTGAATTTAGTGAACAATATATATATAATTTATGAAGATCAGATTATTATAAAAGCATAACGATTATCTTGAAATCTTGTAGTGTCTTAATGATCTTGACTATTTGACTATGATTTTGATGTGTCGGGATTAATGTCGTTTATCATACTCTCCCAATATGGTGCCCATTACTCTTGAGTCTTCTCTTCTTGTATATGCAATTGTTTTTTTTTTTTCTTCAAGTTTAATTTAATTATGTGAAAATTTTGAAATTGCTTGATGACTAAACTAATAGGTGCGTTGAAATTTAATTTGTATTTGTCCCTTGACGACTAATGAGTCAGACTTGCAGAAACAGGAAAAAGAAAGTTTAGCTATATGGATGCTTTTGAAATGTAAGAATACAACCTTGTTTATCAGCATACAAATCACTGCTTTAACTTTTTGGATTAAACATAATCCATTTTAAAGATGCTTGAGGAAAGAAGTATATGGATAATGGATTCACTGCTTTAAAGATGATTTTGTTCTGGTTTTGTTAGCTTGACAAAGCTTCTCTAAATATTTTGAAATAAAAGTTACATATTTAAAAATTACCTAAAAAATACTACAGTCAAACCTTTCTATAAAGTACTACAGTCAAACCTCTTTATAACAGCGTTATTTGTTTCGAGATTTTTTGACTTTTATAACAAATGGTTGTTATATACCTATAACAACATTTGGCATTTAAATATTTTTTGCTATTTTAGACAAAACTTATCCAAAACTCAACTATTTTTCTTTTTTAATGTTACATATAAAATATAAGAAAATTCTTCCATTTTAAAAATCTCAAAAGATAAGCATATTTCACTAGGTATATATTGAAGTAAGCTAATAAATAATAAATTCATTAACTAAACATACAAAGATTTAAACTCTAAGACACACATTTTAAATTAACACAACTAGGAAAATAACTTCTTTCAAGATTGATGGAAGAACTTTGTAATTGTAGCTGTTTCGTAGATTTCATTCTCTTACTACCGGCATAACGCTTGAATTGACGAAGATTCATGTCGAAATTTTCAGCAAAAAGGTATCCAATGAAAAATATATCATGTGCAGATCTTCAAATTTTGTGTCTTATGCAAGATAGAAACTTTGTTCAATGGAAATAATTGTGTGCATATTTTTAGAATTGTTATTAGTAACCTTAAAGATTCTATATAGCTGTTATAGAGGGATAATTTTACAAAGAGCGTTGCACTATAAATATGGTTGATGTTGTTATAGGTAAAAAACTATTATAGAAATGTAAAATATAACTTAAAAATCGGTTCTAAGAAAACCTTGGCTTTTATATTGAATGGTTGTTATAGAGAGGTCTGATTGTATAAGTCATAATAGTTAGCAATTCAAAATATTTTAAAAATTATTTGCAAAAAATATAGTCAATGATTTTAATGAGATATATTATCTATTTTTGGGAGTGTTGTAAAACTATTAGTAAATGCAGATGTCCACTGCCCCCACTACATTAACCCATGATGTAAATAATCTCCCACTACTCATCATTATTATGATTGTAACTCTCATTCTTCTCTAACTCCTCCTCATGATCTTCCCCATGATCTCAATTATTAATGTCCTCATTAAGATAATCCTTTTATAACCTTCTATGTAATAGTATAATTCGAGCCATGAAATGTGATATATAGGACACACTTGAACACTTGATAAATAAGAAAGTAATTATCTCTTATTTTATTGCTTATCTTCTTGTTTTATATTGTTACTTTGAGCTACATTTCTTAACAAATATTCATTTCTAATAGGAGTATAAGTCATCTTAGCATTGATTAAAATATTTAGTTTTTTAATATAACGCCATTAATTACTACTGAAAAAGTAATATTTTCACTGCACTCAAGTATGAAATACTATCAGTGGCAAAGCCAGAAAATTTAATAAAGGTGTTAAAATTTTGAACAACTTTTGCTAGTGGACTATGCAAGGGTGTTCAAAGTCTTTTTTTTTTAATTATTAATAACAAGTTATATTCGATCTTATACACAGTATAATTTTACAGCGAAGCGTGTTCAGTTGGCCACACATAGCTTCGCCCTTGAATATCACATATGCTCATCCAAACTAAATAAATCAGATTAATTAAATAAAGTAACTTAAATTAACTAGACTTTTGGTACATAAATAAGAAAGAAAATATAATGCTACACTGGTAATTCAACGCACGCACCGCTAGATTCTTTTTGTAAATGACTTATTAAAGTCAAACACAAACTTTACATAACCCCTGAAAAAATTAAATACGCTGGGACTATGCGTTAAATATTTCTAACATCTATTTAATAACCCTTTAATTATTTCACATAAATATGATTAAACTTTACAAACTAGAGCCTATCCATTGCATAGGTCAATTTTAGTCAATCGTAGTACTATACTGTAAACTTTCTTCCAAATTCTTTTTCCTTTAAAGTGTTAGTAAGTTTCTCGCTGTGTCTATTTAATAGGTTCTCAAAGACAGGGCCAGGATTTGAAGTTTATGGATTTTGAATTTGCCATATAACCTATTACTCGTCTTAAATACCAGGTTAGGAATTAAATATTTATATATATTTAAATAAAAGTGACAAGTTCAGTCGAACCCACATCTAATAGACCAGCTCTGCCTCTGTAGGTTCCCTATTTTTTTTCAACATGTGTAAATGTTTTTATTTATTTTAGGAGACAAATGCTAGTAAATGAAAATCTTCTTCTGTGTATCATCATCATCATCATCTCCAAATTAAATACTTTTTACGTCATTCTTTTTGTTTACTTTTGAGAATTGCTTTTTATGTTAAATGCAACTTCTTTTTTTCCCACAGGAAATACACTCAGAAAGATGTGTCGCAAGCGAATTACGGTGCTATTGCAAATATTCGTTTTGGTCTCTGTATTATTTCCTAAAGAGTTGATAAATTGTAAAACTCCTAAAGCAATAAGGGAATTAGCTTGTTATCTAGAATGCGTGGACAACTATTATGAATTTCTACGACGCAGAGACACTTAATCAAAGCATTACTGAGGAGATTGTGGGAATGGCAGGAGATTATAAAATATCCTATAGATGAACTCCCTCCTAATTCCTTTAGTGCCATCAAAAACTTCAACCTAAAATCTGAAATAAATAAATAGATAACTTTTAAATACATATTCTATATGTATCAGAAATATTAAAAAGAGAACCCCCCTCACCATGAAGAATATTGAGTTGACTAGGTGAGCATTTAGTTATATTTTTCTTGCAATTATCCCAAATTCCTTGAGTGTCAGCATCCTTGGGAACCAAACTATTATTCACCTAAGTTTCAAGAATCAAAAGATAAAACAATTAATAATGCTTTATAGCGTTAAAAAAGTTTGGGGGTTGGG